AGGTGCTGCTCCATTTAAAGGCGGCGTGGCGGATCTGGAAACGCAACAACAACGCCACTACAGCGTGCACTGCATGGGATGGCGTCACCTGCAGCCCCAAAGGGCTCGTCGTTTCCATGTGAGAATCATTGCCCCCACACGCTGTCCTGGTTGCCCACTATTTTTGCTCGGTCATCGCCACAATCGTCTCACCCCAACCTCACCCAAAATTGACCTCGGGGTCACTCTCGGGTTAGGGGCGTTGGTGATTCGAGAGTCAAAGGGTCCGTCAAGTTGGGGTCACTCAACATTGACCCCAACCTAACCTGGCAGCGAACCCAAAGGTGACGCTCAGGTCGCTACTGTTCATCCGAGTCGCCTACCGCAATAGAGTGAATCACTGCATGCTATAAAGAAAACTACAGTGTACATGCTACACCATATGTAATTTGAATTCATAATGCATTAGTATGTATTTTACAAAAGTTCAGCAAAGTTTTAAATTAGGCTTTAGAAGATGCAGGATATTTGTTTATTACACAAGCAATTCCAGCAAATCTAAAACGATACTTTTCACACTTAATATGCACATCTACGTCATCTACAGAGCGACCATGCATGCTAAAATCTGAGGTAGCTTAACGAGGGCTTTTTTGCATTATTAACAACACCTGCCACACACTAGCAGTAAACAGAGGCAATAGTGATGAAACGCAATTAAATGCAGCCAAAAACAATAAATGTTTAGCTACAGTACATACCTCTGTGCTGTAAATACTGTTTTGACCGCCAGATAAGAATAGCAACTTCTGCACACATACGCATGCAAGACGTTGTGAAACAAAGACAAATATATGTAATGTCATGCTAAGTTACATGAAGGTATGAAAATGGCCACCCAAGGCGCACAGGCATCACGTCTGGGTACCCTCTGCATAACCAAACACCACTTGGAATGTACTTGTCACGAGTTAATGAATCAGAACATGCAGTTATGAACAAGAACATAGTGAAACATTGACCTTACATCGCACGTTTTTCTGTGACTGGATTATTGAAAAAACAAAATGGACAATGGTAAGACAATGGTAGACTTCAGAACTTACCAGTTTAGGGTACAAACAGTCCAACTGTCACCTATGCAAAGAGTTCTTGTCGATTCGTCGCGCTCTGCAACAGCCCACACAAACGCGGGCTAGAAGCAGACTGCAACAAAAAAACACGTTGTGGAAACGAACGTGCTAGTTATGTAACTGTTTGTAACTGGTAACTGTTTGCACGAGTGAGAGGGTAATTACGAGCGACTATCCGTCTGCGCGATGTGATTCTGAACCGCAATTTCCGCCGCTTTGTACATAAGCACCGCGTCACTGCTGCGCCTGTCTGCGCTGCGCCACCTCCACCCATCCGGCTGCGATCGCCGATGGCAAGCGCGCCGCTACCGCCAGGGAGACGAGGAGAAAGGTGGTGGCGATTGGTAGGAGCTTCATGGCGTGTGAAGTGCCTGGGACTCGAACTGTTAGTGACATTGAGGGATGATGTCTAACTTTCAAACCACCTCAAAGACAAAAGTTCTGCGTGGAATGATAGCACGGAGCAGAACATCTGAAACAACGGTGCTACGTGTTTTCCCTGTAAGAACCTGTCCTCGTTGCCCTACTTGTGATTGCTCCTCAATTCTCTCATTGCCTCCCACTCGGCCCAGTGGTCCATTGCACGGGATGTTGTATCGGTATCTATAGCCTAGAGCTCGCATCCATGCTAGCCACGTTCTTCGCTCAAAGATGTGGTGGAGCAATAAAACGAATGTGGTAATTGAACTCAGTGGTCTCTGCGAAGCGGGATCCAACGTGTCCGGGTGTTACAAGTCGGGATTCGCCATGACTGCGTGCATGGGAATACCCGAACGGTTAGAGCTCCCACTCCCTAGTGAACTCCGAATTAAGATAGGTGCTAACCTCGGGATGTATTCCCTTATCCTCGTCAGTGATTAGAAGTTACTAGAATCCAGCACGGCATGGCATCGAGGCGCTATGCCAAGATGCCATGCTAGAAACGTGATGACGCGGGTTTCCTTCCAAGCCGCGTTCATTCCCCTAGCATAAAGATCTCTCCCCTATTCTTCTTTGTATCATCTCATCTTCCTATTCTATAATATCTGATTATGCTATCTTCTTGCCATCTCGGATCCCACCTTCCACTTCTAGCTTAGCTCTTACGCTGCCACTATTCGTTCTTCTTCTTTCTCTTCAAGCTACGGCGCCACCGTCACTATGTGGCGGGCTAGGCCAGCCTTCATTGGTCTCAGAGCCTTCGATCCTCAGCTTCTACTCTCGTGTTAAGCTAGAAGCTACTTCTCTTCATGTCTTCTATTCTCGTTCTAAGCTAGTAACTGAACTTAAATTCGACTTGTACGAGTCAACTACCTTTGGGAGGAGCTAGCATGGCAAGTTAGTTCCTGTTCCAACTCTGGTGAAGTCGAGATGTACTTGGTGAGGTCGAAATCTACTTTGCGAAGTCGAAATCTGCTTGGCGAAGTCGAAATTTGCTTGGCGAAGGTTCGTAAACCTGTGATTGGGCAAACTTTTAGCCAACCAGAAAGTTTGGGAGCAGAATTTCGAATTTCGTAATGACCCTTCCTAAGTTGGAATATACGCGTTTCGCGTTTTGTACGCATGCGTGTATACGCTAGAGTATAATACGCAATACGTCCAGAGACGATGTCGAAATACGCTTGAAATACGGAGGTGCGGGCAGGGTAAAAACCTTTCCGGGCAGGGAAAAATACCCATCTCTGGAGAGGGGAGGGGGAGGGGGTGCTTTATACCCACATCTATCCCCTCGGAAATATTTGCAGAGGGGGGATATTTGCGGATATGAAAGCTGAAGTGCTATAAAATGACATCATCGCTATCTTCCCAAAGCACCAGCGCGGTGGAACCTTCCGCAGATGCAATCTGAACCTACTCGCACTCGCAGGATTGCTTGGGCCGGTAGACATGACTGCAGCGGGTTAAGAAGCTTAGCGCAAAGTTATGGCAAGCGATGTGTGAGAGTCGACTACGGAATTAAAGGATGCGTAGGTTAGGTCGAGCTCTCTTTTGTGTGCCTGCTTTGTGTGCGTGGATTTCTTCGTGGGGGTGGATAGGTTGGATCTGAGAGGTGTGCTGAGATTCAATGCGGTTGGAAGCTGTACAACCTTTGAAATCGGAATTTTGGGAGCCCAAATTGAGTTCGCGACATCCAACACGTAGTTCCGCTCCGCATCGTAAGCTCGCAATTGCCGTTTTTAGGTTTTTTTTTTTTGTTCAACGGGCTGCCCGCCCGAAAACCAAGTGTATTTCTAGCGTATCGCGTTTTTGCGTTTATACACTAGCGTACAAACGCAATACGCCTTGGAAGCCGAGCGTGTATTCCAATTTAGGACCCTTCTGCTCAAGGCGTCTTCCTACTGCTACACTACTTCGACCTTCATTGAAACTCTCTGAATTGAGGTGAAGTTGGGTAAAAAGCGTTTGTCATTTCAATTTCTTCACCTCGGAACCCTCCACTGGAAGTTTCCCTGTTGGTCTTCTCACCTGCATCCGTTTTCATGGAAATCCTCGCTTCAACTCTTGACAAGCTCATTTCTACTCTTTGTAACGAGTGTGTTTTCTCTGCTCTTAAATTGTTTATGGATAACTGCAATTATGACCATGCTTATGAATTCCTTCTTCTTGCATCTCACCTCTCTTCCCTTTGAAACACAAGGCCTCTGCCTAGTCCTTTGCTCTGAAATATTTCAAGAGCATAAGTAACCTTATTTCACTTTATCTTTAGTTGATCCACAAGGTACTTGATTAGATGGCTAGTGTTTCCATTTTCGGAATCTCTCCTAGGCATATTTGGCGGTATTGCTGGACGTGCTATAGGCACCAGCGTTGAGGAAGCTTAACATGGGTTGTTGTGTACAGTGAGAAGCGCCATAGCATGGGCTTGGTTGAGACTGTACATGGAAATGACCTATGGAGTCTTCCACCCTGGTTAGAAGCTGCATGTGACCGCAAGAGCTGTAGTATGGGCTGTAGCTTTATGCCGACCTCCTAACTCCTTTCTCGGATACGCATCTGAAGCATGAAGACCAAGAGAGAAGACCAAACTTACCTTGTAAATATTTCCTGGATTAAGTCCTTTGATTAGTTAGCTCGGATAAGCATCGGGACGATGCTTCTTGGGGAGGGGGCTTATGTTACAAGACGGGATTCGCCATGCCTGCGTGCATGGGAATACCTGTACGGTTAGAGCTTCCACTCCCTAGTGAACTCCGAATTAAGATAGTGATTAGAAATGGTATTGCATGCATTCATCCATGTGTTGGCTGGAAGCTATGTTGAGAAAGACGCATGGAGGACGCACGACGATTTTTTTTTCGGGCTGCCCGAAAAAAAATTCCCGATCGCAAAATTGACATTCGCAATTTCGACGCGAATGTCGAAATCGTGAAATTTCAACCCCCCTTGCCCAAATCGCCATTGAAAGTGTGGAAGGTCCCCCCCCCCCCCTCTCTTAGCTCAAACGCACTATTTCGTCACCCTTTGAGATAACCGTTACTTTAAAACGGTTAACTAACACCAAAACCTAAGTTTGAAAACGAGCTAGGTGAGATATAAATATATGGCGTTAAGCTAGGGGTGAGCTGAGCTTGCGCTAGAGCTTGCACTACATGTCGCGCAGCTCAAGTTTGACCCCCACGACATTTGTCGGGGGGGTCAAATCCCCGCAAGAATGAGATCTGAAGAAATTGACTCAAAGTAGAACAAAAACCGCATTTCACCGCACTGAATCTAGAATTTCCAACCAATCTATCAATTCCCAACCCAGGTCGACCAGATCTGGCCGCATTTGTTGGCCTCCTGAGATATAGTCGACAGCGTAATCAACTCTTAAGGTTTTCTCGACTAGCTTATAAGTAGAGTTGACGAAGCAAATTGTCGCAGGGGAAATAGGCGGGCCAGAACAGCCCGACCTGCCTCCGTGCTCATCTAGGGCCTATAACAATTTTTTTGCCTGCCCAGGGGTTTGTTTTGGTTTCTCAACATAGGCTGGAAGTTGAAGTTGTTGTTGCTGTTGTTGTTGTTGTTGTTGCTGTTGCTGTTGCTGTTGCTGTTGCTGTTGCTGCTGTTGCTGTTGCTGTTGCTGTTGCTGTTGCTGCTGCTGCTGCTGCTGCTGTTGCTGTTGCTGTTGCTGTTGCTGTTGCTGTTGCTGCTGCTGCTGCTGCTGCTGTCGATGTCGCTGTCGCTGTCGCTGCTGCTGCTGCTGCTGCTGCTGCTGCTGCTGCTGTTGTTGTGTTTTCTCTTTCTTTTTTTTCTATTTATTGATTTCAAAGCAAATACTCCAGCCGGTGGCTCCATACCTCCCTCCATCACTACTTTCCTCACTCTGCAATCTCTGTCTGTCACCACCCACCCACCGATATTCTTCCTCTCTACCATGCCCTTCGTCCAACCTCGTTATGTGCTGTCCTTCCATCTCGTCCCTACTTTCCACACGCCACACCTGACCATACCCTCAGCTTGCCCTGAATGCCTTCCTTTTTCCGGACTACAAGATGTACCTTTTGCCATAGATCTCAAAACTCCAATCTATCTTTCTCTTGCTTTCTCCACTATTTTCTGCTGCCTTCGCCACTGTTGTTCCCGCTCTCCCATTCCACAGTGATCTGACCTACATTGATCCGGCGGGGCCTATGCAATCCCTCGCCAGTCTCACCGACCTCACCTACCTGTTCGTGCTGCTCTTCCATGGCTCCAAACCAGGGTAGTTTATTGATGAACTAGGCCCAACGAATATGCTCATCAATCCTTCACTCACCACACCCTGATCCTGCTCTCACCAGCTCAATTTTCATTCGCAACCTAATTTCAAGACGGTAGTAATCTGGTCCTTCGCTTCCACGACTTCACCTCGTCATCTCCTGTCCCTTACCGCACGCCGTTCATTGCCAGTCGCCCCTTCAAGTACTCCTACTCTTGTCGCTCCCTCCAGATCGTATTTCTGTTTTTTCCCCTTAACATTACACCCCTGCGGGTGGCATGTGTTCAATTGCTGCATGCATGCATGCCACATGTGCACTCAGAGCAATTGGAACGCTTGAGAGCAAGTTGACTGGCACTCTGGACGGACTGTCTTGGCTCTCTACCCTCACCAACCTGCAAGCACTGTACGCCCCAGAAGACGCTTTTTGCCTCACAAGCCATCCGCAAGCGAGTAATGTCACTCTGCATTCCACTTCGTCACCCAGCCACGCTGCCACATCTCCCCAGCATCCCATGCAGATGCCCCATGCTACTAACCTACACCCCCCCATGGCTTTTCCCATACCTCACTTCCCTTCCGTCACCCAGGATAATACAGGATAATGCATTGACAGGGAAACTTTCCTCCTTGCACATTCTTTCACACCTGGAAAATCTTCAGCAGCTGTAAGAATCACCGCAAAGTCATATTGTTGGTCGCATCATGTCACTTCATATTTGTTAATCTTCATGTTACCATCTGATTGACATGACCTTTATCAATTCGCAACTGGCAGTCATGGTGCAACCAATCTTGCTTATCACATGTGCATGAATGCAGAGATCTTAACACGATCAATAACGCCACAGGGGAGCTACCCAGAGAGATTCGATACCTGACTGCTCTTACTGGACTGTAAGCTGCACAAAATCTAAAGATAAAGCAACTCTGTTTCCCAGTCATGCCTATAGCCTTTTGCTTTTGGCTTGACTATGTGACATGCTCTTGCCTTCCTCGCTGCAGTAAAACTTCAATTGTGTTATGTCGTAAAATGGTTAATGTCGAGTCAGGAAAAACAAGACGAGATAAATCTCGACTCTTTGCTCATGTACCCTTGACACATGCTCATGCCCAAGGTAAATTTTTATGCGGTTTTCGTAAGAGGTAGTCCAATTCTTACTGTCTATAGAAATCCAAAGGTGGGATATGATTTCGCATATGACCACAGGTTGGGTTGAGCACGGGCCGGGCTGGGCCCCGCTCGGGTCGGGCCAGGCCGGGCTGCCCAAAAAAGCGGGCCGGCCTGGCCCAACCCGAGCCAAAAGAGCAAGACCTCGGCCCGAGTTCGCCCAAAGGTTCCCGGGCCGATAACGGCCCGACGCAGGCCGCGCCTGCCTGGCCTGACCCGGGCGCACACTCGTTATACGTAAATTGGGGAAAAAGTTTTTGGGCGGACCGGATAAAAAAATTGGGGGGAAAAAAAAAAATCTAAGAAGAAATTGCCTCAAATGTTAGCTACGTCCATATCCCCCCCTCCCCATGCCCCATAGAAGACTTTTTTGGCTGTCCGTTCATTTTTTACCCCGCCCGAGCTTGCGTCTAACCCTACGTCTAATCAGCCCTAGACGCGTCTTCCGCAACTAAGGCGAACACCTTGGTGTCGGGGGCGAACACGGACGTGTTCGTGGCAAACATGTTCGTGTTTGCCCGAGGACTACATTAACTGTAGTCACGCATGGCAGACAATGAATTTGCCTCCCCCCCCCCCCTCCCCCACCCTCCAGCCATCTGATCTGACGTCGAAATGTCAGATCCGCGCATATCTGACAGCGAAATGTCAGATCCGCACATATCCGACGGCGGAATGTCAGATTCGCGCATATCTGACGAGGAAATGTCAGATCCTCGCATTTTTTACGGCAAAATGTCAAATCCGCGCATATCTGACGACGGAATGTCACGTCGCGAAGTGTTTGAGCTCAAACACAAAGTCCCGCGACCTAAAAATTGGTCGCGGGTCAATTCGTCGACGAACACATTATTGTTCGTCGAAGTCCCGTGTCAAACACGAAGTTCGTGTTCGACGCCGCTCGGGAGCAGTAGCGAGGCGAACACCGAACGTGTTCGGGCGAACACCGAACATGTTTGCCACGATCAATTTTAGCAAAAAAAAAAGGTCACGGTCGTTGCCTTGCTCTAGCCGGGCCGACATCCGAAATTTGAGGCCTGGCCCGGGGCATTTTTCGGACCCAGCCTGCCCCTGTGCTCAACCCTAACCACTGGGAATAGATGCAAAGAAGGGCTTACATTTGTGTTCACAACTTGATGAATTTATACTCCACCTCCTCTTGCTTCTGCGTGCTCTCGCCCAAAGTGGAAAAATACAGTTGTAAAATACCATCCATTCTTTTACGCATGTATTTTAAAGTCAGGCTTCAAAATTGTGGCCATTTTTTTGTGAAGAGATTTGTGGGTAAGAAAAGAAGAATAAAAAGAAACAGTCTAGGGTACGCTCGTTTAGTCCTCTTCCTCCTTCTCCCTCTCACACTCTTCATCCTCGTTTTCTTCTTCCTCCTACTCTCCGGAGTCACCGTCGCTACAGTCCCACGGATGAACACCCTTGGTCTTCCTTCCTCATGGCTGGTACATCCGACCCACTGCTTTCACTGTCTGCCTCGATCTTCTCCTTGGTTTTTCACCGTCAGTACCTTCTAGTTTCCCTAGCTGGACCCAATAGACTTCTTTGCCCTTTTGGTTTTCTTAACGCCGCGCGTAGTCTTCCGCATCCGAATTCGATACCCCCAAACGTGTCCCAATTGATGGTACACGTTCGCACCACCTCTTCTCCCTCGTCTTCAACCGCAAGAAGTGGAACGGCGCTGCACCCCTCCTTGAGAGTGCCATCACCAAGGTTGGTGTACAGCTTCGCACGAACCTCTGCCTTGCAATTGTACGTTGCCCCCGTTCAACGGCTGAACTCCACAGAGGTGGCGTCAACCGTGAAAGATGCATTTAAACAGTTCCAATCTAGCCAAGCCTGCCAATAGCACTCGACGTCGGAGGATGTGACCGGTCGAAAAAGGACCATTACAGCCAGCTATTGCAACGCCGGCACGCCCACCATACATGTCCCACCAGTCGCGTCACTCAGCCTCCAAGGTCGCCCCACTCTCCACCAAGGTCGTAGCTGCGCTTCCACTGCTCCCAAGCGCCCTTCTCCCTTGTGAAAGCCGGCCAGCTGTGCCGCAGGCATGATTCATGTTCACCCCTGCACATTCCCTCCCCTGGCTTGAATCACCTCATCAACTCCAGCTCTCACCTTTGGGATGTTGCGCACCTCCCCTACGTACTGGTTCCGAGGGCGTAATAGCCATCGTAAGGCGTGAAGGTGAGCAGCTGACCATCCCACGGTTTCGCTAAGATGGCCTTCACTACAGCCAAGAACCCTTATCTTTAGCATCATGCAGGTCCGTGCGGCTCACAACTTTGGCTGCATATGAAATGAGTTGAGGTGAGAAATCCCCTTCGTAGGTGGGGGGGTGAATGCAACATAGGCTAGTGAGAGCATGCGTACGGTTATCTTACCCGCCGCTTCAACCGCCTCGTTAGTCTTCACGGTGGCCTCTAGCACAAGGCTGTCAATCTGGTCCATGACTAGAGACCGCATGTCGACGGTTCGAAGAACCTCATACACGGGCTTGATTAGCCCGAGAACCATCGTGACTGACTCCCAAAAGGTCTCCTCCAATAAGAGCTTGTGGATTAATTTTCCCTCTTCCGACCATGCCACCGCTACCTCTTGCCACTTCTCAGATCTTACCATCTCCATTAAGGACTTTTCAACCTCACGAAACTGAGAGATCATGATGACCAGAGTGCCAAAGCGTGTGGCATCCGGGCGGACAAGCGCTTCCATCTTCACACCCCCGTTTGGCGAATCCAGCGTCCGCCACCCATTACAGACCTACTTTTGTGTGCATTTTTAAGCAAACGTACTTGAAGCCTAACTTGGAGAAAAACACGGAATTGAATCCGCGAAGAGCATTTAGGGGGTGTTACATTAGTCGCGAGAACCATGTACAGGCAAATGGACTAGCGAATGCAGGCGGGTATCATTTTACAGGAACTATTTGCTTTGCAGAAGAGAACCCTGTTGATAAAAAATATATACTTTCCACTACTACTGACATTACTGGCTCAAGAAACTCCTCTCCTTGGGGTCACCTCCGAGGGTCGCTGGGTGCCTGACCGAAGTCAGCCCCTATCCAAGAGTCCGAGTGTGTCGAGAGATTACAAGTCCTGAGTAGCAAGGTGACGGTGGTCTAAGTTGGAATATACGCTCGGCTGGCAAGGCGTATTGCGTTTGTACGCTTGCGTATATCCGCAAAAACGCGATACGCTAAAAATACGCTCGGATTTCGGGCGGGCAGCCCGTCGAGAAAAAAAAACCAAAAAATGGGAATTGCGAGTTGCGATGCGGAACAATCTGTGAGAAACATCGCGAACTCAATTTGGGCTCCCAAATTTGAATTTTGCAATCTTTCAACCGCTTTGATTCTCAGCATACCTCTCAGATCCAACCCATCCATCCCCACCAAGAAAGCCACGCACAGCAGGTACGTACACAAGGTGAGCTCGAAGGAAACGACGCATTCCTCATTTTCGTAGTTGACCTTCAGCCATATCTACCCCCTCAAGCACTCCTGCGAGTGCATGTAGGTTCGAATTGCGTCCGCGGAAGGTTTCACCGCACTGGTGTTTCAGGAAGATAGTGATCGTCTCAATTTCAGGCACTTTTGCATTTAATTCCGCGAGAAATCCCACTCCAAAAAAAATCAGACGAAGGGATAGGTGTGGGTGTATAGCACCTTCTCCCCCTCCCCTCTCTAGAAATTGATATGTTACCCTGCCCGGAAAAGGTTTTACGCTGCCCGCCCCTCCGTATTTCAAGCGAATTTCAACATCCTCTCTGGACGTATTGCGTATTATACTCTAGCGTATACACGCGTGCGTACAAAACGCGAAACGCGTATATTCCAACTTAGACGGTGGTGAAGGTCCCTTCGTCGTCGTGGGCAGAATATTCGTAGGTCAATAAACTTCAGTCGCGTTACAAGAGGAGAGCGTTTTTCAACCAAGTGGAATTTTATTACTTGCAAGAGATACAAATTTATATTCTCTAGTTGTTGGCTATTCTATCCTTCAATTATCGAAGCGCAAACACTTTCAAATGTTCCCACCACAGTCTCATGGTCTTCTGGGCTCTCGATTCGCCGTCGAACGATTCAAAGTCTCCTTTGAACTTTTTCAACAGTGCCGATCCGAGAAATATTTCTTTGCGCCATTCCGAACGGTTGCAATCCATACTCGTTTGACTCTCGGCGAGGGAAGATTCGGCACTCGATGAGCACTGAAGTCGCAGCCAATTGTATGCACTGTAGTCTGGCTGGGGGAGTGCTCGCGAGTTGTTTTAGTTCAACGAACTACAGATCGCCACGTGACGATCACTAACAACCAGGGTGAACAAAGCACTCGAAATCACACTTCCTCTCTGAACATTTTTAGCAGCTCCCATTGGTTGAAGATTCCGTTGACTTCGCCTCGATTGTAGAAACCCCGTTTCTCCTTTTACTCCAATTTGAAATCTTGTGCACACTGTGTAAGATGAAATCTGTAGATTGAAATACAGAAAATGATTTCTATATTCAGAAAAAACTCCCCTCATTCTGTCGATTGCACCTCCCAGTTTAATTCATTCTCATTCTTCTCATCCTCACACACCGCCAGTGAGGTTCGTCTGCAAGACTTTTGGTCAGGAAGTCGGTAGGCTGCTGATGTGTTTTGATGTGCAGCGGATTGAAGCTCCCCCGATTGACTTCCTTGCACAGCCAAGGCCACTGCATGTGTTTGTTTAG